CATCTACAGAAGTAGAAGTTCTATATTACCAAAAATTTACTGTAWAAACTACAAAATATCTACAATGTATTAAAAATAATTAATTAGGCATTAGGTACATTAAAATTCATTTTGTTATTTTATAGAATCGTATGAAAAATATTAGRTGATACATATATTATGATCATCAAATTGAATATCTTAACAAAAAAAATATTATGTAGTAGGAATGTTATTTTTCTAAAAACACTATTTTTAAGTGTTTGTTTTGTTTTTAGGTAAGTTGTTGCAATAAGAGTGCCAATAAATGGCCTTTGGCCTTGGGACAATTATTCTGTTAACCCCACTTGCCAACTTGTCTCCAATATTTCCTTTCATTGGGAAACGCCCCATAGAATAGGTCAACAATTKCTAAGTTGTTTTTTGTTTGTTATTAATAATTGAATAATTCAAAACATTTTAGTAGATATAAATTAAAATAAAATAGTATACCTTTTTCTATGAATTTGTGCTATGACAATGCAAAATTATACTGTTTGTTTTTAGGTACCTATTAATGTAAAAAACAAAACATTAAGTAGGTGGGTTGRGTACTCATAAATAATAACATTTTACATAATACTTGAATATATTATTAATCATTTACAAATATTTAGGTACTGAGGTAATTTTGTTTAAAAAAAAATGTAAAATGTATCATTAATTACTTCACTATATTTCAGTTTTTTTTWAAATAAATGTAATAAATTATTCATATTTTATTGACATAATAATTAAATAAATTATTATAATTCGAAAATAGTTAATGGGTAATATGTAACAATCAGTTAGGCATATGAAATTAAATATTTGGACACGTACACAATTTCACATAGCAATATGATATGTAAATACTAATTATTTCTCATGAAATTTGTTGAATGACATGGAAATGTTAACAACTAAGTCTATGAAAATTAAAGCTGTTCTAATAGGACAATKAACATTATTTCTTGGTTTTTGTATAGAATTTGGAACTTGTCCAAATAACATTTTTGTTTATATTACAAACAAAACAAATAGGTARGTAAGTAATAAATTTGCATTTATGCTTTAAAGATGAGTTTGTGAAAAATTATAAATAGAATCTGAAGAAGATTAATCATAAATTAGTAARTAGTAGACACAGAAATTTAAAGAAAAAATTGAATGATTAATAGTAAAATCTCTGAAACCTCTTGGCATGTAGAATAATGGATTCTCATCGGCTATCGAGTACATACCACATTGACACCGGTGGCGCAACCAAGAGGATGRACTCCGGGTCTGGACCTCCCCCYYCCCTTGGCATGTATAATAGTAAATATGTCAATTTTACACAAATATATGCATGGRCTACAGGCTAGAAAGGAGTGTGTCCATACAACCAGCAATAGAACACGAGTCTGACGATACTGACTTAAGCCCGAACACGACATACGATAAAACCATTAACTTTAGGCTTTACACTCACTCATAGACAAGTATGCTGGGGTAGATGTAGACAAAAAACCATGGGACCAGCCAATAGGAGCCCAAGTAGTTTTTGAGCTGTACGAACATTACAACGATTCGCTCAAAAGCGTGCAAGTCATTGATGTCGGGCGACGGCTTGTGTACCGCCGCCGCCGGGCACCGGGACCGCCGCTCGACATCGTACTGCGGATTCATCACAGGACAGCGGTTCATAGCGTCCGTCGTCCCCACGGTCCTACAGCCGATCCTCAATAACGCGGCGGTCGTGGCGCGTCGGCGGCGTCTGCAAAGTGGACGATCAACAGTGGCGTTCGTATCATGGGACACGCGGTAGACAGCAGTGTCGGAAAAAATGGAAAATCAATCCTACAATGCAATATTGTTACGAAAGACGGTGTGCGGTGCAGTTGTGCGTATGCGGCCGGTCGAACGCGTAAACGTAAAACGTCGTGCACCAGACACTATAGTACAGCGCACACGAAAACGAAGCTGTTGTAATACTGATGTTGATGTTAARTGGCAAATAGTATTATTATTACTATACTGAAACCTACTCGGCCCTCAGCACGATCGCAGTCGCACGAGTCTTTGTTGTTATTCATAAACAGCTGTTCAGCACATAAACAAGTGCGCCGCGCCGCACCACCATGGCCGTACTGTGGTGGCGGGGGTGCGGGGCCATGAACCGAGCAACGCGCGACGTCCGATGCCACGCCATTGGTCGAAAATCAACGCGGGCACAAGCCGGCTATCGAAAGCTCTGTGCCTCACTGCCTCAGTGCCTCTGTCGTAGACCGTAGTCGTCCGTCGCTTTTGTACTGTTATTGTGTAGGTGACTATTGTTATAGTCTTATAGACTACAGTCAATTGTCATAGTCATTTTCATTAGTATTATATTATGACGTACTCATTACTTATTAGTTATTAGTCATTGTCATTTGTTGTTTCCAAGTTTCCTACACCTAACTAATAACTACTGAGTACAACCTACTTGTTAGTAGGCATACTTAAATCGTCAGACGTTGATAACTGTGACTTGTTGTTTGCGACAAAGTTAATTTCTGTTTTGACTATCTTGTCATACTAGTTATTCTTATTACGATGCGTTATAGTAGTCGTTTAACGTATACCGTTACCAAGTCCTCCTGATTAACGATTACTGTTTACAAACAACACTACAAGGGCTGCACACAGCACAACTTTTTTGTTATTTTTATTCGAGTATCGGATATTCGGACTATCACGTTCAAATTTATTGAGGGTGATAAGTGCATCATCCATTTAATTCAATTACCCTAACCCTACCCTCGATACGATAAAAGTAATAGCTTCTAAAGTTCTAAATCTAGATTAGTTCTACGGTGGATTTGGTTTAAATTTTTGGTATATTCTGAATTTTAGTCAGAAACAATTTTAGTAGAAAAAAAGGCAATAGATATTTAATATCGAACTCGAGAAAATCCATAAGGTCAAGTTGAAAAAGCCAACATCATAATAGGTATTTTATTTAAATTTCATTAGTTATTAACTATTAAATGTTTTTTGAGCTCACTARCATTCAATAGTAAATATATTATTCTTAATTTAATTTTGAATTTTAATCATTGTAATCTTCAAGTTAGTTTTGATTTTTAAATGTATTTCTATTATTTTATCGACAACAATACAACATACTATAATTGTAAACATAAACTTAATATTGTATAAAATATAAATATAAATAGGTATTCATTATTCAATCATTGGTCTTGCTACAACTTTTATACAACGGTATTTTTTTCGTTTTTTTAGTGTATTGATATTGATATTTCAATCATCTCTTTTTGGAACTGTAAAAATGCTCCGATATTCAACTCCGGATTCTTTATAGGAAATTATATCTAGTAATCTAGTTATCTATAGGAATTAAAAAATAAGTTTTGTTAAATCTACATTGTAATTTTATAAGTGTTAGAAGTTAAAATTATCACGAAAATTTTKATATTCATACGTAAAACGACGGTAGTATCTTCTCGAACAAATTTTGTAATTTTATTTTAGGTACCTGATGTATTCAAAATATATTAATCGAAKAAAATTTGAAACTATTTACATTTTAACTAAATTATTATTTGACACAGTGTGAATTTTTCAAAATATTCATACTAAGTTTAAGGTAAGTATTATTTGGAATTTAAAATTTTTAAAATTCTGTGTTTATTAAAATATTTTTACTCAATATGCTTGAAAATATACCTAATGTGATGTTGCATTAGACAATAAGTTTCAAAGTTCTTATTGTCATATGCGGACATGCGGTCTCTGCTAAATTATTTAATCTAAATTTCAATAAATTATTTTATATTTACATTAATAATGCATTTGTTATAAATACATTATTAATGTAGAAATAATTATGAAAATACATACATATTTAAATATTATCTAGTAAAACATCATTCAATATAATAAGGTACGCTTGGACGTATATTTTCAATTTTATATAATTATATTGTAAATTTTGTTATCTAATATCTACATATCAATGTCAATTATTWTTCAATGAAAAATCAAAATCGCCAAACTACTTGGATGAAGATTTTTCATAACTCCCTGAGGTAGAGGTTTATGTTAATTATAGGTATTATAATGTATTAATGTATAAGTTTAAYTCGTAAAATACAATCGTAATATATCATTTATATTATTATGAAAATAATWATTATTTATTAGGTTCTATAGTATTCGACGAACAACGATCAATCACAGCTATGTACAATATACTGAACTACCTAATAAAAAATTCTAAATAAATTATGCCATTCATATATTTAACTATATAGAACATACCTAAGTATAAAATATATTTAAAAAAAAAAATATAATTCATGGCTAAGTCTACCACTGAGTAATCAATTTTTTATCCACACATACGTATATAATATATTCTATATTTGGCACAATGCACTACGTATACTCACAGTAATACGGCATTTTATTATGCCCCCCACTAAGCTTACAAGAAATTATAATCTTCTATAATGTGTGACGTAACACGAATACCTATACATAGTACATCAGTGATAAGTATTAAGTATGTTATTATTATATTATGTATATTATTTTAGATATTTTTACGAACAAAATATACACAACAATAAAATACAATGAACATTTTATATTTTTATTTAATATTACTATAATTTGCCAAGGTGACAATTTTTTCTATTTATCAGTTTATCACCCATATAATATGTTATGTATATTGTATAATGTATAAAAATTAATAAAAATCTTTACAGTTTAATACTCAATGCTCAATGGTTATGATTTTATTTTCAGTTTTAAGGTAGCATTTCAGTAGGTACTTAATAGGTATGATAATAATTAACAATAACTTCTAAAAATGAACATTTCAGAAATATCAATACTATTTTTATTTATTAGGTACGTATTTATTATAGAGGTCTGCCTAGCTGTCGCTATATAGTAGAGATGATAGCCAAACACAGCTCACATCTTAACATTTTTACTATAAAATATTATAATAAGTAATATTCTCTTTCCTGCTTTTTATATTATTTTTCATTTTAATATATTATTGTATACGGTTCGTKATTTTATYGCTGGCCACCGCTGCTATAATTATATAATAGTCTAACCACTATTTTAATAAAATGATCCACAAATCATGAWGAATCCATCATATGCCACGGATAAAATATTAATGAGTTAAACTTAAATTATATTTAATAAAATAAAATAATAATAAGTAATAAWGTAATATACATACATTTAATACGACTTATTATTCCCCCATATAGATACTCGTTATAAATTATAATGACATCATAACTATGTTCTATATATGTAAACAATCGAATAACAAAATAACCTTTTATAATTTATGGTAACTACCTATACTAATTACTAATTCCTTAAATAGGTACTTTATAATTTAGGCCGGACATACATTGTTGTGTGGCGTTGTATAATACAGCAAGACGTGAAGTATAGCACAAGTTTATGTATATGCATTTAACATAACATGATACATTGTTAAAAAAAAAAGTAAATATTATAAATTATTAACACTGACTTTACTGAGTACACTGGCAGGCTGCAGGTATAAAAGATAGCGTGTGGCATCAATGTTATTCAAATGCAGTACCTATGTACTACGCTTTGTGTCTTAAACTGCATTATGTGTATATAGTTATAAAAATAGTATTGTAATAATGCTTTAACTAAATTAGATTAATAACATTTAAATTTAAATGTTTTTTATAATATTTTAGATTCTGAGCGTAGCGATGAATGTATTGATTTTAAATGATGTGTGTTTTTTTATTTAGTTTTTTGAGTCTTTGTACACAATAGGTTGTCAAAATAGTGYTYCGRTTTTCAAATTCAGTAGCTTTCCTGGTTGGAAAAAGAATCTAGTTGATGCATWGGGGAGATCAAATTTTGAAATTACCAATAGTTTTAAAAAACACCAGAAAAAAMMAAAAAAAAAAAAATAAGAAACAACAGGACATTTTACACAAAATTAATTTTTGAAAAAAACGATTTTAGATATTGGTGTAACTTTAAAACAAATTACCGTACACACATG